GAGGACGGCGGGGACTCCTCCGAGTCCAGCAGCGAGGATGAGAGCGAGGATGGAGACGAGGCGAGGCGGCCGGGCATGGTGGGAGGGTCGGGCGGACCTTGCCACGAACTCCACCCGCTGACTGCCCGCCCCTTGCCCCCCAGAACGAGGAGGATGATGAGGACGAGGACGACGACGAGGATGACGACGAGGACGAGGACAACGAGTCTGAGGGCAGCAGCTCCAGTTCCTCCTCGTCGGGAGACTCCTCGGACTCTGACTCCAACTGAGGCTCGGCCCCACCCGGGGCTCCCCTCCCCAACCAACCACCTTTGTTTCTCCCCCATGTTCTATCCCCTGCCCCCTGGCCTCCCCCACTTTCTTTTTCTTTTTCTTTTTCTTTTCTTTTTTTTTTTTTAAACAAAATACGGTGGGGGAGGGGCTGGAGGAGCCCAGGCCAGGACTCTGCTGCCTCAGAGACATCAGCCCTGGGGGGCCCTCCAGGGAACACAACCATCAGACTGAGCCACCACTGGACCGGGCCGGCCCACCCCTCTTCTGCACTTGCGGCTCCGTCATGGACAATGGACCTGGGAGTGGGGTGGGGGGTCCCAAAGAGTTCGGTGAGGCCCTCTACACCTGCAGCCCAACCCATGGGAGGGTGGAAGCTTGGGGAAGACCCCTCCCTTCCCAGAGGGGCTTGCCGACTGGACCCCTACATTTGGAACTGGAGGCAGGGAACAGGTGGGGAGAGGAGGGTGGGTGCCTAAGAGCAAACAGGCACTGCCCCATAGCCCTCTCCCCTGCCCTCTGCAGGAAGGAGCTGCCTGGACCCACTCATGGGGGGAGGGGGCAGAAGTGTTTTTTATATATGTGTATATATTTTTTTTTTTAAGCTCTGAGCTGTCAACGAGACGTTTCCTACCGATCTCGGCTGCCGTCTCTGTTGTCATTTCTGGGAGAGGGTGGGTTTAGGGGGGTAGGTTTGGGACTTTTTTAAAACGGTCTTGGCACGAATGGAAAAGTGTGTGTGTGTGTGTGTGTGTGTGTGTGTGTGTGTGTGTGTCGCCTGTACATAGCATGGGTGCACCTGTGGATGTGTGCAAAGGCACGTGTGTGTGAGTGTGTGTGTGGAAGAGAGAAGGGGGAGCCCGCTTCAGTCTGTGAATCTGGTTGAATGGGTTGGTGAGGCCCAGGGAGACGTTGATCCTGGTGGGAACAGGCTGGGTCAGCCCCTTTCTCCACATCCTCTGCTTTGCCTAATCTCTGATTCAATTTGGGGAGGGGGGTTACTGAAGCCACTCTGATGCTTCCTGTACCTGCTTCCCTCTGCCAGGGCTACAGGGCTCTGAGCTGCCGCTGGTCTCCAGCAGGGCACTGGGGAGAGGGACAGATTGGGTGGACCTGAGAGCTTCTACTTGGTGGGAAAGGCCTTTCCAGTTCATCTGAGAGGTTGCCTGGCCACCTGAGGCTCAGAAATTGGGCTTCAAGCTCTTAACACACATCCCTCCTCCCTGTCCCTCTCTCTTCCAGCTCCCCACCCCCATTCCCTATGATTTCTCAGGTCTGCTCCCTTCCCCACCCCTCCAAACCCCCAGCTGGGGAAGGGGTCTGCAAAGGCTGCTTTTGCGGCTGTCCCTTTAACCCTTCCTGGCCATCTCAAAATTTGGGGTACCCTGATTCTAGAACCTTAGTAAGCCAAGCCACCTGGTCTCTGTGGATTTAAATTTTTTAATTTTTTATTAAATTTTGGCGCTTTTTTTTTTTTTTTCTCTCCTTATAATCATGTCAATGACCTATTTAATTGGGGCTTTGTGCTTTTCTGCCTTCTCCCCCTGAATGAAAGTCAAGTGATGGGGGAAGAGTGGGAATTCTACCCAGGAGGTGGAATGGGAAAGGTGGGTCCTGCTCCCAAAGGAAGGCAGACAATCTGCTTTGCCTTGGACATGGTGCTGGGGTTGGGGGAATTGGGGGGGGGGACACTCCCCGCTCTCACTCCCTTTGTCCTGACCCTGACGCAGGGGTTCATAGGTTCTATTTCTTCCCAGGAGCCCCTGCAAAGAACCCCACTTCCCTGTCTGAATGCCCCTGCGCTGTTGTGTTTTAGTGGAATGTGTTTTCATTTAAAAACAACTTTGAATGGGGCGCTTTTTTTTTCCTGTTTTAAAAATTGAAAAATTCTTACAGTACAAACAGGGCTGTGGGGGTGGGGGTGTTGGTGCTGTAAGAGGTCACTCTGAGTGCATTTTGGCACTGGGATGGGATGGTTGGAGTCAGAGGACCCCCCCCACTCTCTCCCCTTTTTTTCTAATATTTAAGGAGTGTTTTTGTAGGTTTCAACAACAACCACAACTTGAATTTGTACCATGGGAGGTGGGAGGGAATGTCTTAGAGGTGTCTGCCTAAGCTTAAGGCCAACTGTAGAAGTTTTGTTTTCCCTCTTTTTGTACAATAAAGCAAAAAACAAAGGTTTGACTGCTGTCTGGTCACTGGAATCAAGGGCAGGGTGTAGGGGTGACCCAACAGGTTCAATGGGAAAGACTTGAAGTCTGGCTTGTTTGCGCTTCTCTCTAGAACCAGCTTTCTCTTGCTGAAGACTCCACAGGCAACCTACCTTCACATTGTTCTGGGTTGTTACTGAGCTTCCGATTCGGTCTGTACACCTTGGGTTGTCAGACCACTAAGGACTCGGAGAATTTGAGGGAACAGGTAACAATATTTTCTCCCAGAGTGCGTTGCCTTGGGAAATTGGGGGTGATGATCAGCTTTGCATGACTAGGGTGAACCCTGATCCTAATAAGGGGTCACTTTATGACTATTCGCCCTAACCATGCAAAGGTTTATCATTGGGAGTTGGGGTAACTCTCCCACCTTGAGCCGTCCGCCTCTCCCAGGGTTAGAGATGACTTTCCTAACTCCACCCAGGGCTCTGATAGGAAGTAGGCTGAACCTAGACGATTCCTCTGAAGTTAAGGAAGATAGCCTTCCTGGGGTGCCTGGGTGGCTCAGTTGGTTAAGTATCCCACTCTTGGTTTTGGCTCAGGTCATGATCTCATGGTTGGTGAGATCAAGCCCTGCGTGGGGCTCCACACTGACAGCACGGAGCCTGCTTGGGATTCTCTCCCCCTGTCTTCTGCCCCTCCCCTGTTCACACTTTCTCTCAAAATAAATAAACTTCAAAAGTTAAAAAAAAAAAAAAAAAAGTGAATCCCTGCACAGGCTTTGGCTGGATTCCTGGAGCCACCGACGCTGGAGACCTAGGCCTCATCCAAGAGCTCTCCCTTGGCCCCACACCCTTCTCCTGTTCTTGGTCAAACTGCTAGAAAACTCACTGCCCTTTGTGGTCTCCATTTCCTCACCTCCCCTGGGGTGACTCAATTGACCAGCATGTTCATCATCCCATCTGGTGGACACCTGTCCATCTCTTGACTTCTTGGTCTATTCTGCAGGCATTGGTTCCTCCTCGTTCTATCCTAGGTGTTCATGTCACCCTATGAACCTCCAATTGTCACCCGTAGGTAACCAATCCAAAAGGTGGTATCTCCAGAGACCAGTCTTCCAAGCTGCAAATCTGTGTAGATTTCTGTGTGCCCTCTGGAATATCTGCCAGGCACCTCACCTCAAGACCCAAAATGATCGCCAACCATCTGGTTATTCAATCTAGAAACTAGGGTGTCAGCCTTGACTTCTCTCTCGTTCACCTCCATGTTCATTTGCTCACCTAGCCCTGTCCATTCCACTTCCTGTGTCTCTCTCAAATCTGTCTACCCTTTCGCCATTGCTGTCATCCCCATCCTATTCAAGGCCACCACCATTGCCCAACTTCTGCAAAGACTTCCTAAAACTGGTCTTCCTGCTTGTACTCCTGCCCCCTCCGTCCATTCTGCACACAGCTACAAAAGTTATCTTTTAAAAAGAAATCTCATGACCTCTGTACTAACAACTTGCATGACTCTACAAGGCCTGGCCCCTGCTTCCCATCTCCCACCTTCGCTCACCCACAATGATCCAGCCAAGTGTTCTCTTTTGTTCTTCAAACATGCCTACCACAGGGCATTTGTACTTGGTTCTTTCTGCCCCAGATGCCAATCCCTCAATTCTACACATAGCTGGTTTTCTTAACCCTCAGGCTTCAGATTAAATGTCACCTCACAGGCCTTCCCTAACAACCCTTTCTGGTGAGGCCTCCTCCTACATCTTGTTTCTACTATTTGTTTGTTTCTTGTCTATCTCCCCAAGTAAAAGACACTTAACACCTTACCTGCTTGTCCATTACAGTAATCCCAGCACCTTTTAAAGTGCCCTGGCACACAAACTTGACACTCAAGAAACATTTGTCGAATGAGAGACAAAGTATGGCTGACAAGGCCCTGGCAGATCTGTTGCCCCTGCTGCCTGTTGCCTCTGCACCAACCCCAGCTATGCCAGCCATTCAGGAGAGGGCCGGTACCCATTCTGCCTATACACATAACCATTCCCTCTGCCCCCATGTTCCTCGTCACCTCACTGTGTAGTTAATTCAGGGCTCCCCTTAAAAGATCACTTCTCCCGGGGGGGGGGTCTTCTCTGACCCCTTGACAAAAACATCTTCCTGTCATTTGTCCCCCCCCCCTTTTTTTTAATGCTTTTATTTATTTTTGAGAGACAGAGAGAGACAGAGCATGAGTGGGGGAGGGGCAGAGAGAGAGGGAGACACAGAATCGGAAGCAGGCTCCAGGCTCTGAGCTGTCAGCACAGAGCCCGAGGCGAGGCTTGAACCCATGAACCATGAGATCACGACGTGAGCCGAAGTTGGACGTTTCACCGCTTAACCAACTGAGCCACCCAGGTGCCCCCAGTTCCTTTTTTTTTTTTTTTTTTAATGTTTATTTATTTCTGAGAGAGAGAGCAAGCAGGGAAGGGGGCAGAGAGAGAAGACAGAGGATCTAAAGCGGGCTCCTTGCTGAGAGCGGAGAACCCAAGGCGGGGCTCAAACTCATGAATTGTGAGATCATGACCTGAGCCAGAGTCAGATGCTTAACCAACTGAGCCACCCAAGTGCCCATGACATTTGTTTCTTCAGCAGCCCGATGCCTTCACAGTCTTGTTTCACCCACATCAGGCTTTGCTGGGGTGTAGACTCTACTAGGATAAAGTCTGTGGGTTTCTCTGGCTCGCTGCCCTAACGCCACGCCCTCACCCACGGCCCAGACGAGCACGGTCCTCAGTATTTGCGGACTGCTTGATGCTACCTGGGGAGACCAGGCATGTTCCCAAAGAGGTCACCGCCACAGAGCAGCCCAGGCCAGGGCCTGGATGAACAGAACCATCCAGTTGTAAAGGAGTTGGTGTGAGGATGGCCACGGGTGGGAAAGTGAGGAAGTATTTAGGTAAACAGAGAGGAGACAGGAAGGCTTCTTGGGCATGTGTAAGTTCCTCAGGGCAGATACACTGGGCATATTGAGAGACTAGGAAGCCGATCAGCATCACTGGTGTGGAGAATTCCTGATTCACACTTCGGAGCTTCCTGAAGACTTGGCCTCATTCTTTTGCAAGTTCAATGACCTTCAGAGTCTCCACCAGCTCATCCCACAGCACCTACAACACAAACCAAGTCGAACTTGTCATTCTCCTTATATCCTCGCATCTCCTCCTCAGAGCTTAAAGATGTTTTCAGGGCCTCTTTGTCCTTTACTCCATATACCCCAATTGATAATTATCCACATACCAGAGTGATTCTACTTAAAATTCAAATCTGGTCACGGGCACCTGGGTGGTGTAGTTGGTTAAGCATCTGATTCCTGGCTTCAGCTCAGGTCATGATCTCGCAGTTTGTGGGTTCGAGCCCCGCACCAGGCTCTCTGCTGTCAGCACAGAGCCCACTTTGGATCCTCTGTCTCCCTCGCTGTCTGTCTCTCCCCTGCTTGTGCTCTCTCTCTCTCCTTTCAAAAATAAATAAACATTGAAAAAAATTAAAAGCTGGTCAAATGAGTCCTTCCCCTTGAGGACTCTTCGTGGCCTATAGGGTTTAAGTCCATATTGCTCAACACACCTTTAGTCCTCTATGGTCTAACCTGCTCACCTCCTGCTGCTTCCCCACTCATTCCTGTGTTCCAGCCAGTCCCCAAACTGAGCCATATTCCTGAAGCTTGCTGTTTAGGATGTCTAGTGCCCTCCTAATCTCCCACTACAAAAAGCCTTTACTGACCAACTCTCTTACATCATTTTATCTATCTTTCTGGCCACCCCAGAAAGATAGATGCACCCCTGTGCATCTCTGTTTTCATCACAGTGTTTGGCAATTATTTTCCTACAGTTTTATCTGACAAACTGTGAACTTCTTGAGGAGGCACAACTGTCTTATTTCATCTTTGCATCCCAGCACAGCGCACCGTAAGAATTCTTACAGGGCACGTAAGAATAACAGGTAAGATTTATAAAGCACTTACACTGAGCTAAGAGTTTCACATGCACTGACTTGTCAGTCCTCACGACGACCTAATGAGATAGGCACTATCATTATACCCAGTGACAACAGAGGAAACTGAGGCAACAGACAGCTCATTTGTCCAAGTTCATTTTTCAAGTCCACAGATTTAAATTCTAATCTGACTCCTGGTCTGAAACATTTAGGATTATTGTCGCAATAAATGTTTGCTGAAGACTAAACAGCCAGTGACGGTCCCAACCAAGTATATGAAGACTTTCCTCGTTTAATCTCATCTTCTAGGCGAGAGAGAGCTGTCAGACACCCGCTCCAAAACTCCAGACCTAGAGAATAACCCAGATTGAAGCGCTAGTCTGGGTATCGGTGCGGCTAGGAAAGGCCCTTTCCTCCAGAAGGTAATGGGGGACTGTGAGAGCCCGCGGATACGGGCACACCCAGGGGAGTAGCACTGGGTCGGGGGAAGGGTCTGGCTAGTGCCGGGCAGGCTGGCTGAGAGGTGGGGGTCCAGCGTGGGTTCCGGAAGCAGGAAAAGCGAGCAGGTGTGGGATCTAAATTAGGCTGAGGGCGGGGAGGGCGCTCCGCTCAGAAGGGCACAGCTCGGCCTCCGCTCTCAGTGGAGGACCCTCATCTCGGGCATTCGTTGGCTCGCAGGCCTGGAGTGGGCTGAGACCCGCCCAGAAACAGGGGAACGGAGGCTCAGACGAGCCCCTTTGGCTCCATAGGTTTTCTGCCCTGAGGTGCTAACAGAGCCCCACTTCAACTCCGGCCTCTTCAGAGAAGTGGCTGCACGCTTCGGGGTAAATGCCGGAGTGGGGGCGCCGGGGCACTACACGGGGCGGAGGAGGGGGGGGGGAAGAGCCAGGAGCCCCGAGGGAAGGGCGGGGGAGCCTGGGCCGGAAGGCGTCCCAGGCTCGGCTGGGAGCCGGCGCTCTCTTTCGACGCCACCCGCTGCCCCCGCCCCGGAGCCGGCCGGGACGGCACAACGTCTCCGCCCCCAGCGCACCGCGCACCTCACCTTGAACGTCGCTCCACCCACCGCCATCCTATTGGGCCGACCGGACCGAGGCGAGACGGCGATTGGCCGAGGTGGCTCCAGAAGGCCCCGCCCATCTCCCCGCCCCCGTCCCCGTCCGCCGGTACTTTGGACGGCGGCGTGGCGCCCCTCCTCCCCGCCCGGTCCCCGCCCCCTGGAGCAAATGCTGCCGAGCTGCGGCCGCGGGGCAGATGCACGCGCTCGGGCCCTTCTAGCAGGCGCGAGCAGTCGCTGGGCGCGCGAAAGCGAAAGAAGGAAGAGGAAGGGAGGGCGGGGGCGGGGTGTTGAAGAGGGGCGGGAGGAGGAAGAGGAGGAGGTTGGAGCGCGCTCGCGCTTGGCCTCGCGCCCGCGCGGAGGGAGGGGGAGAGGGGCGCGCGCGCGCACGCTCGCGTTCTCGCTCGCCCCATCCATCCATCCTCCGGTCGCGGCACGCGCGCGCGCTCCGGGCTCGCGCCGCACCCCCCGCCCGGGAGAGGCGGGCTGGAGTGGGGGGCGGGGGGAGGGGCGCACGGACGGCGCGCGGACTGCGCGCGGGCGGGGTGAGGTGAGGAGGAGGAGGCGGCGACGGGACGAGAAGGGAGGGGAAGGGGCCATGGCCGCCCGGTGAGGCGGCGAGGCGGGGGGGCGGCCCGACCCCCCGGCCCCGGGCCCTGGGCCCCGGGGAGAGGCGAGGACGGACCGACGGACATGGGGCTCCGGAGCAGCCGCCGCCGCCGCCGCCGCCGGAGGACGCGGCCCTGAGAGGCCGCCGGGCCCCGGCGCGGCCCCCCGGGCGGGGTGAGTACGGGACGGAGACGGGGACGGGGGAGGGGCCTGCGGGGGGCGGGGGGCGGGGCCCGAGGCGGGGCTTGGGCCCCCTCCCCCCAGGTCTGGGTCAGCGCCCCTTCCCCTCCCCCCGGGCCGACGCGGAAACGCCCGGCTTCCCCCGGCTTCCCGGCCCGGCCGGGGCCCCCAGCTCTCCCCCTGTCTGGGTCCCCCCTGGGCGGGGCAGGGCCGGCCGGGGAGGGGGCGCGGGGCCTTTGTTAGGGAGCCAGGCCCCAGCCCCCGGGACAATAGAGACACCCTCCCGGACTCCTCTCCCCGGCCGGCTGGGGCTGTCGGCGGGCGGGGAAGGAGAGGGGCCGGGACGCGTCCCACTCTGCCCACTCTCTAGGGGTCGGTCTGTCCCGGACCGGCGCCGGCCTCGGGCGGCTCGGCTCTCCTCCCCCCAGTCGGTATGATGCAGCAGCAGTGCCGCAGGGACGGGGGAAGAGCCGAGGCCCGGCCTCCTACCCTCCCCAGTGCCCCTGGCTCATTTGTCAGTCCCCACCCCACTCTAGGCCGGCAGCTCCTTAAACTCGTACCCACCGTTCAGAGGGGCCCCGGACTGTGGGCGCTGTTTCTGAATCCTTTGGTGGGGATTCCTGGACTTTGGGGCTCTTGGAGAGACTTCCGGGCTGGTCCTGAGGGAGGGAGGGTGGTTATCTAAAAGAAGAGCAGGTAAGGGGAGTGCCCACTCCTGGCATGCCATCCCAACCGGGCTCTACCCCCTCTTCTTGCTCATGGGGGCCAGAAATGCTCCTTCGGCTCTAGGTTTCTGTGGGCTCTGCTCCCCTTCCGTGGTCACAGGCTTATTTCAAGGGAAGACAGAGTGGGGTGAAGGTTGTAGGGTTCTAGGGCCGTTCCTACTTCTGGTAGCAGTACCCCCCCAAGTGGACATCCTGGCTGAAAGCAGAGGTGACTCTGAGGAGAGCCTAGGGAAGGGGGGGGGGTATTTAGGAGTCTGTGCAGTTCTTTGCCACACCCTGTGGGTTTGCTTTGAGGCCTTAGAGTTCCTTCTCCTCCCCCTGCTGCATTGCACCATGGGTATCGAAGAGGGGTTTGAGTTTGGGGGACCTGGGTTGAGCTGCTGCCTCCTATAGACCCAGACACTGACTGGCAGCCGAGTCCAGGGCCTGAGTTCAGTCCTGGGAAAGACTAGGCCGCCTTTGGGTTTCGGGCCCTGCAGGACCATCCAGACTTAGTGAGCCTAGGCCTTGGGGAGGGGTAGATCTTGATGCCAGGATTAAGCTCTGGGCAGTGAGGTGCAGCGGGGAGGTGGCAGTCTTCACAGGTGCCTTGGACTCACACCAGCACCCCCCACCCCCGTGTGTGCAGCCGTGTTGCCGCCCGCTGTGCTATGAGCAGTCAGAGCGCCGTCTCCACAAGAGTTTACAAATGAAAATGGAGGAAATGTCTTTGTCTGGCCTGGATAACAGCAAACTAGAGGTGAGGGCTCCCCCACGTGTGCCTCTAGTTCTTTCTCTTGATGTCTCTACGTCGCTATATCTGGCATTCACACCAAAGAGGAATTTGGGTAGTCAGCCTGGTTCCTTAAAGGGAATAGCCAGCTGAAAAGGTCCAAGGCTCCGGAAGAAGAAAGGACGCGAAGTCAAGATGGGGAAAATGGCAAAGAAAGCATTATTTTTGGCCAGGGCGAATTGGCAGACTTGGTTGGTGAGAGAGAGTTGCTCTCAGTCCAGGGGGCTGTGACTCTCCTGACCGCGGATGTTCTCCCCTGGGCCCAGGCCATCGCTCAGGAGATATACGCGGACCTGGTCGAGGATTCTTGTTTGGGATTCTGCTTTGAGGTACACCGGGCTGTCAAGTGTGGCTACTTCTTCCTGGACGACACGGACCCTGATAGCATGAAGGATTTTGGTGAGCTTCAGGGTTGAAGGAGAGCAGTCCAGCCCAGCCCCGGGGGCGCTCGGAGGTCCCTTCTCTGGAAACTGCGCCAGAAGTAGTGCCTGGAGCTCCTGTGAGCTTAGGCAGGGGGGTTTCATGAGGCCACGGGGCCATGGGCGGGAACACGAGGTGAGGGTCCCCTGCCCACCCTGATCGCCACGCCTCTCCTGTCCCCAGAGATCGTGGACCAGCCGGGGTTGGACATCTTTGGACAGGTTTTCAACCAGTGGAAGAGCAAGGAGTGTGTTTGCCCCAATTGCAGCCGCAGCATTGCCGCCTCCCGCTTTGCTCCACATCTGGAGAAGTGCCTGGGAATGGGCCGGAACAGCAGCCGGATCGCCAACCGCCGGTGAGGGCTTCTCCCGCTGCCGGAACCAGAGCTGCGCGTCTTCCGGACCCTGTGCCGTGGTGTAGTCCCTCGGGGGCGTTGGTAGGGCACAGAGGGTGGCTCGTGCTTGGCCTCCGACGCTGCACTGTACCCGTGAAGTTGGGGGCAGAGAGGTGGCCGCCTTGACCCGTTCTCTCCCCTCCCGTCGGCAGGATTGCCAACAGCAACAATATGAACAAGTCGGAGAGTGACCAAGAGGATAATGACGACATCAATGACAATGACTGGTCGTACGGCTCAGAGAAGAAAGGTGTTTGGGGATCTGGGGGAACTTGGGGGGCATTGGGGTGAGGTGGCAAGTGGGAGTTGGGTCACAAGTTATCTTGAATGAGGAGGAGAGAATGCAGCTTTGTCCTTTTCCGTAGAGGTCCTTAAATTGAGAACTTAAAGTGACCCTGTCCTTTGTCCTTTTGTCCTACGCAGCCAAGAAGAGGAAATCAGACAAGGTGAGAGCGGGGGCAAGCATGAGGGAAATTTGGGCGAAGGACAGACACCCTCCCATTTGGGCAGGGAGTCCTCGGGTATTTTGACTCAAGTCTGAGGTCATCGGGTGCCTCTCTGGGTTTCGGGATGAGGGTGTCTGTGGTGGGCAGGAGGGCAGCGGAGGCCCTGGGGGAATGGGGGAGGAGGGAATATGGGTAGATGGGCCTCTTACTGGGGAGGAAGAGTAGGAATTTGAGGATGTTTCTTTGTCAAATCTTTTTTCCTTCCCTGGGTTCTCGGCTCCCCCTTATCGTTACCCTTTCCCCAAAGCTATGGTATCTCCCATTCCAGAACCCCAATTCCCCTCGAAGATCCAAGTCTTTAAAACACAAAAATGGTAAGTGGGTCTTGAACAACGGGAGCGATTCTAGCTGTGTCTTCTGGGACTCATTGCCGGAGGGTGGAGGTGGGGAGCTTAGGGGACAGGGGTATCGAGGGAGGGCCTGTGATCCTTCTGTCACCCCCACTTCCTCTCTGGTTATTTTCAGGGTTCTCTGTCTGTACCTCTGCATCAAACACCCTTCCCCTTCTTTTTTCTTCTTCAGGGGAACTTAGCAATTCGGATCCTTTTAAGGTGAGTAGGTGCTGCCCCTCTTAGGTTCTCTCCCGTTTTTCTTGTCGGGAGTTGGGTGGGATTTGGGCAGGTGGGGTCAGGATGCTGATGGCCCCAAGCACTAGATGGGGTGTTTAGGTCTTGGCATGTTTTACGTTCTCGCTGGGTCCCAGCCCCTCCCCGATGAGCAGGTGGGGTGGACAGAATCACTGGAGAACTGCTGGGCAGTCCCATGTAGAAAAGGATGAGAGGGATGGGTTCCCTGTCCTCCCCTCCCCCCTCGCTCTTGGGCTGCCCCTTCTCTGACCTGTACCTTTGGTTCTTGCCCAGTATAACAACTCAACTGGGATCAGCTACGAGACCCTGGGGCCGGAGGAGCTGCGTAGCCTGCTCACCACGGTGAGAGACCAGGGGAGGGAAGGCCCTTGGGAGTGGGCTGGAGCCACAGGCGGTGGTCACGTCCCTGGAGGAGGCTGGTGACAGCAGGCAGGGCCATATAGCTCACTCTCTCTGGAATTAGGTTTCCTGGCCAGTGGTGGTCTGGGACTGTCTGTTCTGGACACCCCGGGGCCGTTTCTGCTCGTGCAATCTAGAGTTTGTACAGAAGAGAATATCTAGTGTCTGGAGTGGGCTCCCCTCCGCCCCTCCTTTCAGCTTCTGTTCCTCTTCCAGCAATGTGGGGTGATTTCTGAACACACCAAGAAGATGTGCACAAGGTGAGCTCAGAACCTAGCAAAGGCGCCCAGGGGCCTCCTGCACACGCATCCTGGGCATGGGGTGGGAGTACCCTTGGACTTCAGCAATGGGGCCCCCACTCCTCCCCTCCCTCCTGTAATGGTCAGGCCTTAGGCCACAATCTGGGGGCACTCTGTGTATCCCTCGCCTGTCTGTCTGTTTGTCCCTCCTCTGTTGAGGGAAGGGGCTTCACCTGAGTTCCTCCTACCCTTCTTCCTGCCTTGTCAGGAGGGTCTGATTAATTCTGTCCTTGCCAGGTCCCTGCGCTGCCCCCAGCACACAGATGAGCAGCGGCGAGCCGTGCGGATTTACTTCCTCGGACCCTCAGCGTAAGTGACCCTCTGAGAAGGGTGGTGGGTTGTGAAAGATGAAGATCGTGATTGGTATCCCTCAAGCCCTTCTTTGGCCCCTTCTCTTTCCAGCGTCCTTCCAGAGGTCGAGAGTTCCCTGGATAACGACAGCTTTGACATGACTGACAGCCAGGCCCTGATCAGCCGGCTTCAGTGGGACGGCTCCTCTGATCTCTCACCCTCTGATTCGGGCTCCTCCAAGACGAGTGAGAATCAGGGATGGGGTCTAGGTAGGTGATACATCTGGGCCCCCGGTCTCTCTGCCCGAAGCTGAGGACGTGGGGACACCTGCGTTCTCCTGACACAGCCCAGCCCTCATCCCGCGTGCCACTTTCTTTTCAGGTACCAACAGCTCAGAGTCACGGAAAACCAAGAAAAAGAAATCCCATCTGAGCCTGGTAGGGACTGCCTCCAGCCTAGGCTCCAACAAGAAGAAGAAGCCAAAGCCACCGGCACCCCCAACGCCCAGCATCTACGATGACATCAACTGACTTGGGTGCAAGGGATAGCCTTTGGCTGAGCAGAGCCCTCTCTCCCAACCCCCACCCAGGTGGCGAAGCCTGGCAAATGGACGGCTGCTGGGGGTTTGGGCTTGGGAAGCTTGGTGGGCCAGGCAAGCAGAGGATCCAGTTATGCGCCCCTGGGGGGTGTCAGGGTCCTCTGCGATGGAGCACGACCCCTTGGCATGCAGGACTCAGACCTGGACATATTATGCCTTGGACATAAGTTTGGTGGGGAGGCGGTTTTCCTATTTATTCTGTGAGTTACTGGATGTCCAGCTAGGCCAGGGGCCTGACCTGGGCACTGTGCCAGGGCACTGCCTGCCCCCCACCCCAGGAACTGGACTCAGCCCTGCCGAGGAGCATCGCGGCTACCCGGGAGGCTGTGGGCTGGAAGCTGAGCCTGGAGGGGGCCTCCCCCAGCTGCCCTCAGCAATGTGAATGGGTCCGGTGCTTGGAGCTGAGGGGCAGGGCTGGGCGTGTCCTGTCTGTGTGCAGAATCCTATCAAATGCCCCCAATCCCAGGGGTAGGCAGGCACAGCAAGCTGTCTGCTGAGGTGGGTGTCCAGAACTGCCACCGCCTTCCCTGCCCCTCACAGGGGCAGCCCTTTCCCCTCAGTCCCCATGGGCCTCCTTGGCAGCAGGAGCTGTCCTTTTGTTGTTGGGTGCCAGGAAAGGGCCTCCAGCCTCTACAGCTTCACGGAACGGGCAAGGGGAGGATAGGAAGAGGGAGCTGTGTATCAAAATGACTCCCCCCTACCTTTCCTCCCTGACCCAGGGCTGGTGAGGAGTGGGGCCCCAAGGTGAGAGGGAACGGTGCTGCTTTATTTGAAATGTTTTCTTACCTCATTCCCTGCCCCAGGAAGGGGCCCAGCCTCACCCTCCTGGGGTGGCCCCATGTTCCTCCTGCCTCCCCTGCCCCACTGCCCTAGCAGGGCAGCCCAAGTTCCCGACTGCTGCTTGCTACCCCCCTCTTTCACCTTGACCAGCTTCAGTTCCTCTCTCAATGCTCCTGCCTCCGAAGCCTGCCCTGTTTCCCCTTCCTTAGCCGCTTTTAAGTTATTTATTCTGTACTTGTGGTTTGGGGCTCTGAGGAAAATCCTGACCTTTTACCTCTCCCCCCTTGCTAGGAGTGGGGTGGGAAGAGGCTAGTCTCCGTGCTCTGGGTCGTCAGTGGAGGGGGAAGGGGTGTCCCCTCCGGTGGGACTACCCTGCCAGCGCGGCCACCTGCCTGGTCTACATCCTGAAGAGATACACCATCCCGCCTCCATGTGGGCGCCATCACTCCCAGGAGCCGAGCTGGAGGACTGCAGTCTGGGCTGGGAGCAGAGCTGACTGATGACACGGCACGGAGTTGACCCTGAGCTGTGTTCTCTGGCATTTGCTGGATGTGTCCCCTGCCCTCTTCCCAGGAGGAGCCATCCCACATTTGGGTAGCTAGTACCCAGGACTGGTTGGACTGATTTGGGTTAGGGACCCTAGAGGGTTAAGGGAACAACAAGAGCTAGGGCTGCAGTACCCTGTCTGGAACCCCAATCTCCCCCCCCCCCCTCCCCCGGGGTGGTTCTGATTGTGGCTGACGCCTGGTTACAAATTGGTTTTTAACCCACTAATTGATTATTTTTTAAAAAGCCAAACAAATTTTGGCAGGAGTTAGAATAAATCCTAGGGCCTGGGCTCCTCTGTTCTTGACCCTCTGTAGCCTTCTCCCTCTAAGGGGAAGCCAGAGGGGAAGGAGGATTTCAGCCAGCCTCCAGCCTGCTTCCAAATGAAGTCTTGGGAGTGGGTTGAAGGTGAAGGGAGGAAGGCCACAGGCCACTCTCCCTTCTGAGAGGCAGCTGCAGCTCAGGCCCTACCATACCCTTTCCCCTCTGGCCTCTCCCTTTCCCCCTTCTGGTTGGAGGAGGGAGAAGTGGGAAGTAGTTTGGGAACTGGTTTGTCCACATCCACTTCCCCATTGTTCCTTGGCCCACCCTCAGGGCAGAGCCCCCCGCCCAAGCTGGGTAAGAGATGGGCTTGGTCCAGCAGGGACCCTGAGGGAGCAAACCCTTTTCCTTCCGGGGAGAGTGTGCCCCCCCTACCATGTAGTTGAACAGGGGCTAGGAGCTCCCCACTCCCCTCCCTCTAACAGCAGGCTGTGTGGGTTTCAATTCCCATCCTTCCCACCCCGGCTAGGTGTCGTCCACCCTGTATCCTATCATGTGTCTGAGTGTGTGTGGGGGGGGGTTCTGTACTAATTTCCATGGCCGGTGGCTTTTCCTTCCATGCATCACTCCCCCCCCGCATGCCCAGGGGCCACCCGCCTGGCATTACCGCATGCTGGGGTCATTGGGGGAGGGGGGTGGGGCTCACGCTGTCCTGTGGTCTTGAGATTTTTATTTTTGCATATGTAATCCATCCTGTACAGGTAGCTAACTTTGTAAACGCTGTGTATTTCCCCCGCCCCCATGGCTGCTGGTGTAAATAAACTGCATTTCCCATTGGTAGCCCAGCCTATCCACCCTCATTACCATGTTGATGGGGACAGAGCAAAGCCATTCTCTTAATGTCACAGAAGGAGGCTCCACAGCCACAAAACGGAACTTTATTTAGTCACAGACACTGACCCTCCATCCATGAGCCCCAGAGGCAAGGGCCTGGGGCCCAGGGCTCCATACCCAGAGCTCGTCCTTGGAGCTGGGCAGGGTAGGACACTGGCTGAGGGCCAGAGCTGTCTCTTGCTTACAGCCTTAGGCCTAGGGTAGCAGCAGCTGTGGCTTGGCCTCTCCCAATGCTGGGGGCTTGGCTTTGTGCCGCACTCCCCTTCCTGACTGAGCTCTATAAAGGACTATTAAAAAAAAAAAAAAAATACAAGCAAAGTGCTTTGAAAAAGGGGAGAACACTGGAAACTATCCAGAACACAGAGAACACCCTATTCCTGCTACAGGGGTGGAGGGAGAAGGTAGAGGCGGCTAGGTGCCTACAGGGGAAGCGGACACAACCTTCATTCCTGCTGTGTGACTTTAGTCTCAAAAGATGGATATTCCCTTAAGAAACAGAAAAATACTCCAGGCTCCCTACAGAAGTATGCTGGGGCCATGCTGAGCTGCCCTGGCAGGCAGCCCTGGGTACTGAGGAGCAGACATGCAAGACAATGGAAAGAGCTAGGGCCACAGCTGGGAGGGAATCCTCCGAGCCCCGGCTGCCCACTGAGCTAGACCGCCAGCTCAGCTCTGAATTTCTGGACCCTAAAAGTGAAAGAAGATGACGTCCTCGTTTTCTACCTGAGTTGTGCTTGCACAGAGGGGGCGTCTGTACCCTCGTGGACGTGAAGGGGAGGCCCTGTACCTGCCTCCTATGTCCTGAGGAGGAGGACCCACCGCATCCTTTCCACCCCTCCCTCCCAAGCCCTTGGGCCCAGCTCTGGCCAGGAAAGGGGGGAGGCCATAAAGAAGGAAGACCATGCCTTTCATTTTCTCCCTATATCCTTATCGTCCGTACATCCCAAATACTAGGAAGCTGAAAAAGACGGTGACCCCCACCAGGGAGACGGTGGCAGGTGCTGTGAAGAACTGGCGGTAATTGATACGGAAGTACCAGACCACACCCAACAGCACCACAAACACGGGCACCATGAGGCTGCCCACACTGACGCCAAGGCTGGGGGGTTCAGTGGCCGAAGAGGGGGCCAAGGATGCTGAGGGGCCTGGAACAGCTGACCCTGGGGGAGAGCGGTGGCAGTGAATCACACAGTTGTCGGTAATGTTCAGAGAACGCAGTGTGCGGGCTGGGTCCTGCAGCAGACGGCCCTGGTAGATCAGTTTCATCTGGCTCTCTTGTCCAGGGAAGTATTTACTGTAGGGATGAAAGAGGCAGAAGGAAACACAGAAGGCGAGGAATGAGAAGGCAAACAGGCCTGGACTGACAAAGCAGGGCAATGAGGGGAAAAACCAAAGGGTGAGTTTCTAAGAAGTATCCTACGCAATCCTAGTGGGGGCTGGATGGACCTGACCCATCCCTGCTGCTCCCATGTGGACACCAGCCTCCTCCCAGGTGACCAAGGGCTGAGGGCACGGGCTACGAGAAGCCTCCCGCTCTCCAGGCCACTCACCTCTTCAGGGCACCCACAGTATCCTCCGGCCTGGCCACAGCCAGCTCCTCGGTGTCATTGAGGAATTTGAGCCGCACATTGATGAGGCCAGGGCTGGGGGGGAGGCAGCTGCCATCCTCAGGTCTCAGGGGGGCCTCTGGACTGCTGCTTTCTGGGCCCGCTTGTCTTTTGGTCAGGCCTTGGATGTCAAGCAGATGCTCAAGGCTCGGCTCAACGCCACCCCCGGCTCCGGGCTCCCCTGTGGGGTCTCCCCCACCTTCGCCAGCCTCTTCAGCCTTCTCGTCATTACCCTCTGATGGATGGGGAAGTTCAGTGGGCTCTGGGGTGCCTTGGCCCGCTACTAGATGGTCCACGTGTCCCAGGTGGAGGACGGATGTGTCGCCAGCTGACACAATGGTGCCCAGGAGCTGGTTGCTACCGCTGTCTGCTACGTAGGTAGAGAGCCAAGCTAGGACCAAGGCTAGAATCAGCACCACCACACCTGCCACCACAGTCACCTCATTACCCACACCCTCAATGAGGGTGACATCAGAGAGCTCCATGGCCTGGCTGCTGACTGGGTCGACACTGCAGGAACAAAGGGGGATAGCATAAGCAGGGTACGTGGAGTTGCAGCCAGGTCCCTAGCTTGTTTACGTTTTAACTGAGCCAGCCCTGAAAGAGAATGGGAGTTCGGCTCCCCATAGAAGGGGGAACAAACCTTCCTACCTCCGGACCCCCAACCTAAAGCTAAGGACTTCCCTTCTGTCTCCAATGCGAAACACTAGTTTTCGGGATCCACACCTTCCCTCTCTCACATTTCAACCTCCCGAGAGCATGGATCATCAGGAAAACCTCAGGACTTTGTTGCTGCTGCTGCTGCTGCAACTCGTCGTTGCTTTTTTGGTAGGCGGGGGAAAACATTTGCCTCTTTGAGCCCTGAGTTTCTCTAGGATTTCTATCACTTGGTCCAGCAACTATGCCCCCCCCCCCCACCCCGAGAAGCCTCCAAGGAGGCTTCAGAGAGACCAAAGAGCCTGAAATATTTCATTCTAGGGCCTTCTGGAAACACAGCGCGGCCACTCTTGCCAGATTGTCTCATTTGAACCCTACCTCGTTCGTGGTCACCTATTCAGGCGCAGGTGTCAAGAACCAAAAAAACATTTTTTCACCAGAAGCAGAGTCACAGACCACCCCAAAGGGACAACTGTGTAGGGCCCATCAGCAGACATTATGCAGCAGGCACTGTGTCTCCCGCCTCTGAAACACTTCCGGCGAGCCCTAGGGAGCGAAGGAGGACGGACACCAGAAACACCACCCTTCTGGGTCATCGTAGGCTCACGACTGCAAAACCACTACCTAGGTGGAAATGACTTGGAAGAGATTCCAAAATAGCTCTCACAATCCATACCTGTCTCTCTCTTCTCGTACCGTGTAGTTTCTCCCTTGGTAGTTCCTTAGAAAGGCAGGAAAACCTTTCTTTTGCTCCTTAGAGGACCTACTCTTTCCCTTGGAGAGTGTGCTGTTTTCACAGCTGTCCCGGGCAAATCCGATCGGATGATTATCATTAATAAACTATTCTCACGATACCTATAACATTTCATTACACTCATCTACTTGTCCATCTCTCCCTACTAGACTTCTGGATGACAAGTATTTTTCTCTGTACCCCAGTGCCTGGCATGATGCCATAGAAACTGCTCAAAGAATATGTGCGTGACATGTCAACATCTGAATAGCTTCCACATCCTTACTTAGAACATGGGCCCTGGAGTGAAAACAAAAACAGAACACTAATTACAATCCTGCTCTTGCCTTTTACTAGCTCTGTAACCTCGGACAACTTTCTCAGAGCCTCAGCTTTCTCATCAGTAAAATGGGGTTAAAAATAGCACCTACCTCATAAGGTTGTTTTGACGGTGACGGGAAATCATCGAAGCAAGATACCTAGCACAGGGTCTGGCACATGGCAACCGTTCAATAAATGGTAGCAGTTACTTCTCGCTCCCCAGACTAGCCCCTGATGGTAATAAGAAGGTTAATGTCACCAACCCTGATTTACAGAAAAGGAAACTGCGGCGAAGAGACGCGAAAACGACTGGCACAGACACAGGGAACTTTCGGGGGCAGGGCCCAGGCAGGACCCCAGGTCTCCGGCCTCAGAGGCCTCTGCTCTCTCCTCAGCCTGTGAGCGACACTGACGGCGCGGTGAGGAGGGGTCCCGACCCTGCGTTTTCTGAGGCGCAGGCTCCGCGTTGGGCGGTCCTATTCCCGCGGCGCCGGAGAGAAGTCCGTGGGCCCACCTGAGCCGAAAGGCTGCCCGGTCCCTGGCCAGCAAGCTCAGTTCTCCCAGCCCGTAAGGGGTAGAGTCGGAAGAGGGGGTCACAAACCATCCACACCCCTCAAACTTCGGGGCGGGGCTGAGGGCCTGAGGGCGGGGCTTGAGTACGCGGGGAGTCATGGGAAATTAAAGGGAGATTGGACCAGTACGGTGCCTGGATAGGGAAGGAGATCCTCACCAGAAAGGGCCAGACCAAGTGTTTTGACTTCGCCAGGAAGGCCCATGGACTCACCTTTCCGTAGGGGCCGGGGGAGGGGCTGGCTATCCCCGATTCTGTCCAGGGTCCGGTTTCTTCCGGCTTCTCCCGGAAGCTGTTTGAACCAGAGAAGGAAGTCCCGCCTCCGCGCTTTGCACTGATGACGTAAATCTACGTAAGGCGGGCTGACGTAAATGTATTCTTTAAATAAAAGGGACAGGTTTCTCAGCGGAAGGAGGGGCGGAGTCACTGTTGGCGGGATCATCGCCCTCCCGGGGCGGAGCCACACTCACTGGGAGGGGCCTAAGGAGCCCATGGGTGGGGGGCGGGGCCAGATGGGATTGGGGGAGGTGCTTGGGGGAGGGCGTGGCTTCGCGTCTGGAAAACTGAGGCGGGCTGGCACAGCTGGGCAGAACGTGAGCGGCGCTTCCCTTGTCCCAGCCTGTTCTTCCGGTCTTGTTCCCAGCCTCCCGGGCTGATTGGATTTAATACTGCTCTGTCCTGTGCACTGAGTTCCTGGTTAGCGGGATCAGTGAGGACTGACCTCCAAAAGTTCAACTCAGGCTAGTCTATAGACAGGAGGCAATTTAGTCACCGGCCGGCTGCTCCAAGAATGTGGCCCCAGGTAGCGTGGGACCTTGGTGAATAAGGCGAGAAAGCATTTCAAAGAAGGCACAGATTCAGCGCAGGCTTAAGGCGCAAGAAAAGGAGCACAGAAAAAGACAGGGGGAAAAAGGTTCATCTCCCAAGAACTTATCTGAATTTTTGCAATTAAAATTCTTTCATGGGGCGCCTGGGTGGCTCAGTCCGTTGGGCGTCGAACTTCGGCTCAGGTCATGATCTCGCAGTCCGTGAGTTCGAACCCCTCATCCGGGTCTGCGCTGACGACCCTGCTTCGAGTTCTGTCTCCCTCTCTTTCTGCCCCTCCCTCGCTCACACTCTGTCTCTCTCTCTCTCTCTCTCTCTCAAATATAAAATTCTTTCGGGGGTGCCTGGCTGGCTCAGTTGAGGGTGTGAGTTTGAGCCCCACATTGGACATAGAGATTATTTAAAAAAATTTTTTTTTTCCAAAAGACATGTTAGGATTTTTGTCGTTTTCTGGTGAACTATTGAATGAAGTATAAAAAAGGCAGACAGGGGTAAACTTATAAGCGAAGAGCTGGTGGTTTTCACCAATTAAATACCAGTGGAACCCACACTCAGATAAAAACATAGCAAATGACCCCATAACCCCTCTTCATGTCCTGTTCCAGCCACTGACTTCTGTCACCATAGATTAGTTTTCTCTGGTTTTGTACTTTGTATAAATGGAATCAAACCATCTAGCTTTTCCCCCCCAAGTCTTATTGTGAAATACACATAAATTTACCGTTTTGACCATATAATTTATTTATTTACTTACTGGTTGATTTATGTTTTAGAGAGCATGCGCAAGTGAGGGAGAGGGGCAGAAGGAGAGAGAATCTTAAGCAGGCTCCACACTCAGCATGGAGCCTGATGTGGGGCTCAATCCCACAACCCTGGGATCATGACCTGAGCTGCAACCGAGTCGGATGCTCAACTGACTGAGCCATCTAGGTGCCCCTGTTTTGTTTATGTAAGTAGTCTCTACACCCAACCTGAGGCTCAAACTCATGACCGCGATCAAGATCAAGAGTCACATGCTTTACCACCTGAGCCAGCCAGGCGCCCCCACTTTAACCATTTTAAGTGGCTAAGTCAGTGGCATTAAGGACATTCCTAATGTCATGCACACATCACCACTATCCATTTCCTATACCCATGCCTCCTTCCCGCCTCTATTATACTTTCTATGAATTTTCTTATTCCAGGTATCTCCTATAAGTGGAATTGTACAATATTTGTCTTTTTTGTATCCGGCTTATTTCACTTAACCATGTTTTCAGGGCTCATCCATGTTGTAGACTGTACCAAAATGTCATTCCTTTTTCAGGCTGAATAATATTTCATCGTATGTGTATAGCACATTTTCTTCATCCGTTAATCTGTTAATGGACATTTGTGTTGTTTCCACCTTGTGGCTATTGTGAATAGTGCTGCTACGCACATTGATGTACGAGTTATCTATTTGAGTCCCTGCTTTCAATTCTTTGGTCTGGCTTCTTTTGATCAACAGTACGTTTGTGAAATGCAAGGTATTTAAAAAAAATTTTTTTTTTACGTTTATTTATTTTTTGAGAGACATAGAGAGACAGAGCACAAGTTGGGGAGGGGCAGAGAGACAAGGAGACACAGAATCCGAAGCAGGCTCCAGGCTCCGAGCTGTCAGCACAGAGCTCGACGCGGGGCTCGAACCCACAAACCGCTAGATCATGACCTAAGCCGAAGTCAGACGCTTAACCGACGGAGCCACCCAGGGCCCCAGCAAGGGATTTTTTTTTTTAATGTATGTTTATTTTTGAAAGAGACGGAGAGCACAAGTGGGGGAGGGGCAAAAAGAGAGAGAGGGAGACACAGGATCATAAGCAGTCTCCAGTTTCTGAGCAGTCATCCCAGAGCCTGTCACAGGGCTCGAACACATGACCCGTGAGATCATGACCTGAGCAGAAGTCGGTCACTTCACCGGCTGAGCCACCCAGGTGCCCCTGAAAGGTAAGGTATTGTTTTAATGTCTGCATATGTGTATTTTGGGGGGTTAAAATTTAGTGTTTTTATTTTGAAGAATGCTGGAGGGGGCAGGGCATCATAATATAGCTACACGGAGTTTTGAAGAGTGAATAGAGATTTATCAAGCAAAGTTCCAAACAGAGAGAGTAGCAAGTTCAAGGGCTCTCAATAAATACTTGGGGGAATGAATAAGCCAATGAGCTGAACCACTATTAGCGCTTTTGAGAGTTTATTATGTGCCAGGTACTGTGCTAAGTACTTCATATACATTATCTTATGGAGCCCAATCAAGTAGCTCTTATTATACACATTTTATAGGTTTGGGAACTGAGGCTCACAGAAAATAAATAATTGTCCACATGAGGCCATTTGTGCTGTAGCTAAAGTCATCCAGTGCCTGTGCTCGAGCTGTCTCTCTCTTTCTCTCTCTCTCTGTCAGTGTGATCTTATTGTCAGTATTTGGTCCCTTCCTTTTTTCATTAATTGTGTACCATGAAGCGTCTCCTATGTCACTGAATATTTTTATAGCATCATAGCATAGCTTTAAATAGCTGTTCAACAGTATTATCTTCCATGTTGCACCGTAATCTTTTTTAATGTTTATTTGTTTTTGAGAGAGAGAGAGAGAGCATGAGCGGGGGAGGGCAGAGAGAGACAGAGACAGAGAATCCAAAGCAGGCTCCAGGCTCCGAGCTGTCAGCACAGAGACCAACGCAGGGCTTGCATCCACAAGCCGTGAGATCATGACCTGGGCCAAAGTTGGACGCTTAACCGAGTCTCAATAAAAATTTTTGTGTGTCTTCGATGACAGATTTTTGTACACATCCATGATTTTTTCCCTAGGATAAATTCCTAAAAATGGAATTGCTGGATCGAAGGGTGTTCACATTATCAAGGTTTTTGATACATGCCCTCTAGCAGGTTGTACCTATTTCCATTCCTATAGCAACGTGAGTGGCACCCGCTACTGTTTCCTTCCCCCAAAACAGGGTGGAGGCTAGAGAGAATGGGGATTAATGGGGGGAGGTGCTGAGAATCCTGATACAAGATCCTACAAGGAGGAAAGAGCAGAGGGAAAGGGGGAAGTGAAAATCAAGGCTATCTGAGAAGGGAATACTTGACTGAGCAGTGACCTCTGAAGCCCAGGAGGGCGGAGCCAGTGGCCAGGGCTGCCCTGCAGAGGAGGCTGGAAATCCGGCTTTTTGACTGCCCCAGCTATCTGACTAATCCATCTGGGGACTAGGCACAAACACTCTCGTGTTTCGTAAGCTGCGTGGACCGACTTCTGCCAGGACGCTTATCATACTGTATTGTCGTTTTTAATTTTTTTGTTTTACCAAATTCCTTAAAGGGAGGAGCTGTGGTTTTCGTGTCCTATTTATTTATTTATTTATTTATTTATTTATTTATTTATTTTTACTCCACCATGCCCCCAATCGATTCCGGTGCCTGCCTACAGGAGTTACTGGGTCAAGATATATTCAATGAATGATGGTTGGATTCAGAGAAGCTGGAGGGAAGAGGTGGGGAATTTGAGAGAGTTCTCTTCTCTGCTGGCCAAAGGTGAAGTGCTAAGACGGCCGTGGCAGGGAAGAAAATGGATGGAACAGAAGAGGAAGAAGGATTGGCTAGGGGTGAGGTAGACTTGGAATGCTCAGCTGCTGGGATGAAGGGTTGATAAAAGTGGAGGTTGGGCATAATGTATAGAATGGTAGAATCACTATGTTGTATACGCGAAACTAATGTAATGTTGTATGTCAACCATACTTCAAGAATACAAAAAATTTTTTTAAAGTTTATTTATATTTGAGAGAGAGAGAGAGAGAGAGAGAGAGAGCAAGCAGGGGAGGGGCAGAGAAAGAGGGAAAGAGAGAGAATCTCGAGTAGGCTCTGTGCTCCTTGTGCAGAGCCCTGAGAGCCCAACATGGATGCTTAACCGACTGAGCCACCCAGGCGCCCCCAGAAGGAGACATTTTTTATGTTTATTTATTTTTGAGAGGGGAGGGGAGAGAACAAGTAGGGGAGGGGCAGAGAGAGAAGGGAACAGAAGATCTGAAGCAGGCTCTGCGCTGATAGTAGAGCCCGATGCGGGGCTCGAACTCTCAAACAACGAGATCATGACCTGAGCTGAAGTCAGACGCTTAACCCACCGAGCCACCTAGGTGCCCCTAAACATTTTTTTAAAGAGAAAAAAGAGGGGCGCCTGGGTGGCTCAGTCGGTTAAGTATCCGACTTCGGCTCAGGTCATGATCTTGCGGTTCGTGAGTTCAAGCCCCGCGTCGGGCTCTGTGCTGACCGCTCAGAGCCTGGAGCCTGTTTCAGATTCTGTGTCTCCCTCTCTCGCTCTGACCCTCCCCCGTTCATGTTCTGTCTCTCTCTGTCTCAAAAATAAATAAACATTAAAAAAAATTTTTTTTTAAAGAGAAAAAAGAAACCGGGGAGGTTGAGTCTAGCAAAGGATGCATTTTATGAATGTGGAGAGAAAAGGACAAGAAACAGTTAAGAGTGTTTTGAAAGGGGCTTTCCGGGGCACCTGGATTGGAATGTGTACAGTAAGTCTGTTTTACTAAAACTGCTCCTTCCCCAAGCACTCTGTGTCATTCATCCATGTTTGCCAATCTGATAGAGAGAGGCGAGTCTGTTCCTTTGATTTCCTTCATTGGCTTACTAGAGAGTTTCCCTTTTTTCGTATTTCTTCAATCACTTTGTAAATTGATTGTTTAGGCCTTTTGTGTTTTCTTCCCTTAAAAAACTTTTAATTTCACAAGAATCCATGGGTACCTGTTTCTAAAAAATTCAAATATGAAAAAAAAAAAAACTTAAAAAAAAAAAACCCACATAGTGGCAGGGTGCCTGGCTGGCTCAGTCATACAGCATGAGACTCTTGATCTCAGGGTTGTGAGTTCAAGCCCCACACTAGGCGTGGAGCCTACTCCAACAACAACAACAACAAACACATGGTGGGATTGAAATTTTTTTTTTAAATTTAAAATATGGACCGTATATTTTTTCTTTCTTTTTTAATGTTTATTTTTGAGAGAGAGAGAGAGAGAGAGAATAGAAGAGAATAGAATAGAGATAATGAATAGAAGTCCATGTCTGGACTTCTAACCCATAGGAACCATAAGATAATAAATGTGTGTTGTTGTTGTTGTTGTTGTTGTTGTTGTTGTTGTTTAGTGTTTATTTTTGAGACAGAGAGAGACAGAGCATGAGCGGGGAAGGGTCAGGGAGAGAGGGAGACACAGAATCCGAAGCAGGCTCCAGGCTCTGAGCTGTCAGCACAGAGCCCGATGTGGGGCCCGAACCCACAAACCACGAGATCATGACCTGAGCGGAAGTGGGACGCTTAACCGACTGAGCCACCCAGGCGCCCCTTAAATACAGACCGTGAAATGCCCCACTGTCACAGTCCTTCTCCCCTCCCAGAGGAGAATTTTTGGGCACCTGCCTCTGGGCCTTTCTCTCTTCATCTGCGATCGTGGGGTCTGGTTTTGTTTGTTTGCTGGACGTATCGCATTCCGACCTATTTTTTTCTCTTCAACAACGGCCTTGAAAATCTTTCCAAGGTAATACCTTGTGCTGGTCACGTGGAAGCCCTCCCCAGTTCTTTCCTGCTGGAGAGACTACCCTTTGTAAGGGCCGCGTTGTACACCAGAGTATGGATTTATTCACGATTTCCCGCTTCGTTGTGTCCTCCTTGCAGGCAGTGCTGGGGCGAACGTTCCCATGTGTGCCAGCCTTTTGTGTAACTGGGGAGCAGTGCTTAAGGGTGCCACTAAATCGCCCACCAAAAAGGCAATTTCCCTTCCCACCAACAGGATGAGCAAAAAGTTCCATCTTCCTGGGCACTGTGTGTTATCAGTCTTTACCAATTAATTCCCTCAACCTGGTGGGCGAATAATATCTTATTATTGTTTCAGTTTGCATTTTCCTGATTGCTGGTGAGGTTGAGCATCGCCATTCATGGATTTGACAGATATTGGAGGGTCCGCTCTCCGCAAAGCCCTGCACAAGCACCCAGTCACCAGTGGTGAATAAACCAGATACTGTTCCTGGGGCGCCCGGGGGCTCAGTCAGTTAATCGTCCAACTTTGGCTCAGGTCATGATCTCGAAGTTTGTGGGTTCGGGCCCCACGTCGGGCTCTGTGCTGACAGCTCAGAGCTTTGGATACTGTCTGTCTGTCTCTCTCTGCCCTTCCTCCGCTCTCTCTCTCAAAAATAAACATTAAAAACAAACAAAAAACCCAGATACTGTTCCTATCCTCACAGATGAAGGAAGTGAAATCTTTTAGTTGCAGATTTTCCCCCCAATATTTTGTCTTTTTTTTTTTTAAGTTTTATTTATTTTGGGGGGGGCAGAGAGAGAGGAAGAGAGAGACTCCCAAGCAGGCTCCACGCTACCGGTGGGGGCTCGAACACATGAACTGTGAGATCACGACCTGAGCCGAAATCAAGAGTCAGACGCTCAACTGATTGAGCCACCCAGGCACCCCCAATATTTTGTCGTTTACTTGTGCTTATGATCTGGTGGTTTTATAACCAAATAAAAACAATTTTTTTTCTGTATCCAATCTATTAATCTTTTATGCTTTCACCCTTGAAGATCTTCTCCTACCCCAAAATAACATACATAATCTCATGTCTCTTTGGGGGTTTTATTAAGTGGGTATTTTGTCACGGCTGTAAATAGAACAGAAGAGGCAGAGCTCACTGGGGTCTGCCTACTGTTAAGGGGTGGACCCCTCAGCATCCTCCCCTGAGAGCGAGGCTCCCAGCTTGGGCCCAGGACTAGAGAGGATTTCCCTCTCTTCTCTTTGGGTCTGCGAAATTAAAGCAAAACTTTCTTCCAGAAAGGAGAGGCTGCCTCTCTGCATGCCAAGGTACAAAACCGTCCTCGTGTTGGGGGGAGGGAAGATCCTCAGATGCAACTCTCCCCGGAGGAGAGTGGGCCGGGCGACAGCAGCAGGAGGCGGCCCCCAGGACTCCTGACCCATCTCTACCGTGTGACTCCAGGTAGTAATGGCAGGGGACAGCCCAGGTCCCTCAGCAAAAGGACTCTCCTGCGGTGGGTACGACAGGCTCAGGGTCTGGCAGGGGCCTTCTGTTTGTTCTTATACCCTTTTTCCTATCAGAAGAGTAACAGGTGCTCCGTGCAGAAAACTTGGGAACCACGGAAGAGCACAAAGGTGGGGTGAAAGAAATGGAGTGAGGGGGACCTCAGCCACATTTTTTTTTTTAATTTTTTAATGTTTACTTTTGAGAGACAGAGCGTGAGCGGGGAAGGGGCAGAGAGAGGAGACAGAACCTGCAGCAGGCTCCAGGCTCCGCGCTGCCAGCACAGAGGCCGATGTGGGGCTCGAACCCTCGAACCCTCGAACCCTTGAGCCATGAGATCATGACCTGAGCCGAAGTCGGACGCTCAACCGACTGAGCCACCCAGGCGCCCCGTATCTCAGCCACATTTCAATCTCACACATCCACACTTTGATTCTGGGCACAAGTCATTTATTTGCATTCATAAAAACTGCTTTGGCTCAAAAGGTTCCTCTTAAAGATGAATGATGGTACTTTAGACTCTGGGGCCGGAGGAGGAAGTGAGAAGGGGGACAGCTGGTGGCTTGTCCTCCTGTCACAGGCCCTTAGAGACCACAAGTGTAGTGACCATTGTTTAAGACACCATGCATCACTGCACAGGGGGCACAGGGGGCACGACCGTAAACAGGTCCCAGGCATCACGCATTTATTCCTTCTTCAACAACCATTTGCTGAAATGCCTGTTCCAGGAATGCAGTCCTGGTCTCAGCCAAGCCGATGCAGACACAGGCTCTTATTTTTAAAAGTGCAATCCAAAGAGGGCTCTGAGGAGATCGTGCTATTGGGCTGATAGCGCTATTTTGTCCTCAGCTTCGACCAGGCCAAAAAAAATGCGGGAAGGGTACACCAGGCAGAGGGAACAGCACATACAGGTGCATGGAAGCGAAGCAGCGTGGCTCTTATCCAGCAACCAGCTGCTAAGTTTGCTAAGGCTGGGTCACAGGAACCTCAGAGGGAGAAGGGGGGGGGGGGTGGGTCAGAGGACCAGAGAGCTTGGCGGAGGCAGCGGTGGAAGATGTATCAATCTTACTGAATTTGGATTTTAGCCTGCAGGTAGTGAGGAGCCGCTGAAGGGCATGATCAGAGTTGTGATTCCCAAAGGGAGTTCCGGCATCCTTGCCGGGCATGGGTCTCAAGACCAGGCAGCAAAGTCTTCCCGTCAAGCAACAGAGGCAGTTCGGGCAGAGGCAGTGCAGGTACAGGCAGAGTCTGTGACTCTTGACGAGGCCAGACAAGGACACGGGTGGCAGGGGATGGGGGGAACAACAAGGATCCCCCCTCCTGGCCTGGGGGCCAGGTGGATGGGGGGGCATCCACGTAAGCAAAGGAGATGGAGGTGGGTGAAGGCGGAGTGTGCAGACCTTCCCATCGGACAGCGGAAGCCCGGGTGGGGTTGGAGGTCAGCAAGCAGCTCGGGAAGCCGCGGGAGGGATGAGCTGGCGTGGGACTCACTGGATACGCCCCTCAGCACGCAGCATCAGGTAGTCCCTGAGGACGGGGGGCAGTGGGAGGCTGGCGATGGCCTGGCGGCAGCGGCCACCCAACTGGGCCCGCACAGCCAGCCGGGCCAGGTGCTGCAACCGCCTGGGCTGGTTCACCATGCACAGGGCCGAGGTGTAGAAGGCTTCATGCTCCTAGGCCAGGAGTGGAATCGGATCAGATGGCCCAGTACCATTGACTCTGACCTCTCAGGATGACCTAGAGCTGGGGGCCCCGGGGGCATTTGCAACATGCACCCCCCCCCCCCCCCGCCCCAGGTGTTTGGTGCATCTTGAAAGACTCAGATTCAGAGCCCAGAGGCTCGGCAGGGGTCATGGGAGATGGGACCGTGCTGTAGGGCAGGGTCTCAGCCATGACTGTACCCACGCCCAACTCCAAAGATGCCAACACAGCCCGCTGATAAATGCCCGTGCTGGCACAAGTGACAGAGGCAGGAGAGGTGTGTGGGATTAGAGGTTGTTCTGAGGTGCCAGGGGGAGGGGGGCCCTGGGAAGCCCATCCCGGATGGATAAGGCCTGGGGCTCATCCTTCCTCTCCATCTCCCCCAGAGCCCAGGAAGGAGCTGTGCCCCTGGGGTGGACATGCTTACCTGCCACAGCTCTGGGAGCACTGCCTCCACCCAGGTATCACAGGATGGGACATAAGGGTAGGCATTAAGCAGGACTTCCAGGGCCCGAGGGAAGTTGGCACAGTGTTTCAGCATCTAGGAATCAAAAGAGGGTCTTAGGGTCACCATGGCTCTCCCAGCCAAGGGCAGACCCAAGCCCAGCCGAAGCCGAAGCCCCATTCACACCCAAATTTGGGAGGCGAAAGTCTGAGTCTCTCCCCACTCTTTCCCATGCCTCGGTTTACCCCACCTTCAAGTGGGCTGCAACCTGTTGGCCCCAACCAGTCTCCTTGGGAACTCTCTTCTCCTTAGACACGCTCCCCTATAGCCCTCAGTGGTCCTTTCCAAGGTGGGGACAGACGACCACAGAGCCGGGCTCTCAGTCTCTCGGTCCCCCTCTTCCCGGGGGGGGGGGGGGGGGGAATTCCAGCCGTGAGCTCCCCACCCAATCCGGGCCTCCTTGCACAGGCCCTCCCTGCACACCTCAGGGCGCACAGGCTGGGCCCCGTAGTCAAGCAGCGCTGAGAAGAGGACCTCGGGCTCCCAGTTGGGGGCGTCCTGGACGGCCTGCAGCGCACAGTCCATGGGCGTGTGGCCCGCCCCGTTGGGCACTCCAGCGCAGGCCCCGTGGCGCAGCAGCAGCTCGGCCAGGCCCCCGCAGCCATTGGCACAGGCGTTGTGCAGCGGCGTGTGGCGCTTGCGCCCGGCAGCGCGGGCATCTGCCCCGGCCGCCAGGAGCCGGCGCGCTGCCGCCTGGTGACGTCGGCAGCTGCTTGGGCCCTCGGCCCCCGCGCACGCCGCGTTCAGGGCCGTCTCGCCCTGGCTGGTGCGCAGGTGCACGTTGGCGCCGTGCTCCAGGTAGAGGGCCACGTGCTCCTCCAGGCCGCGAGCCGCCGCCACGTGCAGGGGTGTCATCTCGCTGTCCTGCGCCGCCAAGTTCACAGTCGCGCCCGCTTCCAGCAGCAGCTTGGCGCACCTGGGGGCAAGGCGCAAGGCCCAGAGGCCAATGCTGAGGGACCAAGGCCTGGCCTGCGGTCATCCCCTTCCCCCTTGCTTCCCATCCCGCTGGCCTAGAGGCTGGAAGCGAGCGTGGTGTGCACCATCAGACTCACAGAAGCCCCAGGACAGACGGCAGAGCCTCAAGGCCTATCGATGTCACCAGGAACATCTCCAGGTTTCAGATAAAACCTCAGCCAAGAAGGGGCTCAGCACGGCCAAGGACCCACAGCAAGTTAGAGGCAGCGTCAGAATTAGTACTCACTGCTTCAGACAGTTCCTCCCAGAATCTATTTCCTCAGTAAATTCTAATCATGGGCTAATTTTTGTTTCTGAAACCTGACTCCCCAAGCGGATTGGGACCCTGCCCGCCGCCCCGCCCCAGGGCCTGGTTCTGATCCCCTTGCCAGTGGTCTCCTAACATTTTGATAGCACAAAATGTTTTGAAAACCCACTACTGTGTCCTTGATGAACGTTACGCATAGAAAATTAGAGTATGAGGCGGAAAGAAAAAGAAATAGAAGTCCTAATATTTTCTTCATGCCTCCAACCTGGAAGACCACCCTTCTGGACCAGTGATATCCACTCAAGCAGAGGAAGGCACCTGAAGACCCACCCTCTCTCCTTTCCCCTAGAGAAAACAACAAAACCCAGATTTTAGGGAGCACGTGTTTCACGGTCTTCCAGTACCTGGAAAAATTACAGGCCAGAACACTGTTGAGGCAAACATACATCATTAACCACCACGGGGTAAAACAAACACGAAACAAACTCCATTAATGATGCAATTAAACTAACAGTAATTTATAATTAAAAAGCCAGAATGGGAGCCACTGGAAGCCCAGGAGCAGATCCGGCATCCCCAGAAAAACCCTGATGACCAGGTGTCAGTGTCCCTCCCCCAAATGGCCATTATCCCAGCCCCCCCCCCCCCCCGCCTCCTCAGTTCACAGATGCAGGAGGCTCCATGCTCCGTGGCCAAGAATGGAGTAGCAGCCCAGTCATCTGTAAATTTTCTTTCCTCGGTCAGTTCTAATCATGGGCTAATTTTTGTCTCTAAATACTACACTTAAATAACACTTAAGTGTCATGATCTCGTGGTTGGGGCGTTGGAGCCCCACGTCGGGTTCTGTGCTGACAGCTCGGAGCCTGGAGCCTGCTTTGGGTTCTGGGTCTCCCTCTCTCTCTGCCCCTCCTGTGCTCGCGCTCTGTCTCTCAAAAAAAAAAAAAATGAATAAAGATTAAAAAAAATTTTTAATGAAAAATAAATAAATAACACTGGAGAGCTCACTCAGGAGGGTTTCAGTAAGTTTCACTTAAAAGGATAAAGTCGGTTGGAAAGTGCACCATGTGCTCATAAGAATTCAAGAAAGGGATGGAAACTTAGAATCACTTGGGTCCATTGCTGATCTGGATCCAGCTGGGGAGAGGTCCCCAGCACGTGGGCTGTGGAGTGTCTCCCAGAAGCCCTTGACTCCCTACCACTGCCAGCCCTGGCTGGGGACCTGATTTGGAAAAGTACGAATACTGTCATGTAGGGGGGGGGCCAAAACCCTGTTAATCTTTTTTTTTAAGTTTTTTTGTTTTTTTTTTTAGTATAGTTGACACACAATGTTACATTAATTTCAAGTGTACAACTTAGTGATTTGACAAGTTTATACATTATTCTATGTTCACAAGTGTAAGCTACCGTCTGTCCTGTTACATCGCTATAACGATGTTCCTTATGCTGTGCCTTTATTCCCCTGCCTTATCCATTCTGTAACTGGAGACCTGTATCTCCCCCTCCCCTTCACTCATTTGGCACAACCCTCGACCCCTGGAAAAACTTGTCGATCTTAAAATTTGGGAGGAGGAGGTGTGTGTGTGGCCGGGGCTTGTACTAAGGTTGGGAAACACTGGGCTACATCTTTCTTGATGCCTGCCTTAAAACAGGTAGGAATTTGGCTACAGAGGATGCATAGAGGCTAAGAGACTGTGGTTGGG